GGCTTCTCTTGGTTAATCATATTATTGAAAATTGTTTATATATTTTTCTGTCTAGTGGCCCAGGCTTCCAAAAGCTTCCAAGTTATTGTTCTTATATGTATATGTCATATTGTGTCATTATATGTCCAGTGGTGCATGGTGGGGTTCTCTCATGTGCTCTCACTTGGTATATTGAAATGGTTCCTGGGGTCAATGACATCTGAAGGTGGTGTGGAATATTTTGTAAAGTGGCAGGCACAAAGCAATCTGACACAAAGGCTTCATGAACACATGTATTCTTGGGGTCTCTGACCTCTAAAGGTGGTGTGGAATATTTTCATGTAGGCAGGCCCAAATTACACAACTAGAAAAAATCCTAAAACAATGTCAAAGATCATAAAAGTATGCTGAAACGTTCACGAGGAACATTTTCAGAACTCTCTTTGGACTTCGCAATGCCCTTGAGACAGCCTTCATGATGCGTTTAGGATCTGACGTCCCATACACTGGAGAGGCATCGCCCTTGTAGACCATAGTCAAAAAGGGGAACAGCGGCGACTTCACCTGCGCACTACCTGGCCTGACGAAGCGCAGAAAGGGAAGATCTTGGAACTCAGTCTTCTTGACCAACCCTACCAGGATCCTGTGGAACAGATCAAAGGAGAAGTGGCAATCTGTAGCAACAACCAGCGGCGGATTGTCGCTGTTGGCTTGACAACACGCGTCAAGGAAGATGGCGATGTCCTGGGCCTCAGAGGCCGCTGTGATCAATTTCCTGCGGGGCAAATGCTGCACCATAAAGCCTCCGGAGCAGGTGTCCAACCGCTTCAACAGGGTACAGCAGTGGACCTGTGCCAAGTGTTCCATGGGCGGCCGTCCATGTTGAGATTCTACAAAAGAATGCTCTGGATAGCTGCCGCCCACAATATGGCTTTGCCGTGGATTGTCAGGACCTCAGACCAATGCTGTAGCATGCTATGTATGTAGCATGCATGTGTCCAAAAGTTGTTCAAAGTCTTCCCAGATCTTATGAAGAACACTGAAAACTAATCATAAACATTAAACAAACCGCAAATATAGTAAATATGCAAAGGAATTCAAAGGATTTCAAAGGCATGGTAGGATCATGCAGGGCCAATGCATGCCAAGACACTCAGGCCATAAACCATGTTGTAGGTTCTTGAGTACACGACTTCGTCACGACAGACCATGTAATCACGATGCATCCCATCACTCTCAATGAAGTTCAATGCTCGAGAGACGCTTTCAACCAAGACCTCTCCGTCGGCCAGGAAGAATCGAGGCAAGAAGCTGTTGATCAACGGGCATTCGATCTCCTTCGCGGTGTTTCGGGCGATTCCAAACGCTTTTTGGATCTCAGGTGACTTGATGCAACCTCCAAGGAGGAAACCCAACTCGACAACGCCGGTGGACAGGTCGGCGTTAGCATCCAAACCACCACCAAGTCTCTCAGTGCAGCCTCTCCTCATTTTGTCTGCTTTCCGTAAAAGCATTGGCACTAGTGTGCGCGCCAAGTCAGATGACTTGAGAGAGCCAGACCCAATGAGTTCCTGACACATGATGGAGTGAGAGCAAAGGAAAGGTACGTAAAAAAATCCAAAAAAATGCCGAATAGACAAAAAAATACAAACTAATTCAAAGACCAAATTGCCATTGCTGAACTCTCATACGGCTGCAGCTTACCACTAGCCAGAGCATCCACGTACGTCACAACCTTCTTTTTCATTTCGTCGCTGAGTCCCGCAATCATGGAAGGAGTCAAAAACTTCAGAGACCGACCAATGAACGACACCAATGCTGCATTTTGCTTGGAGACTGGGATGTGCATAAAGAGATTTCTTGTTCTGCTGCAGGCCTCGTGGTAGGAAATATTCTCCAACGGTTGGTCTGCAACCTCGGGGAAAGCACTTTTCATCCACGATGCCTGGCACAACTGCTCTGTTCTGTCGGGCAAGAGACAGGTATGCGTCAAGTCTGCGAAGGACACCCGAAAAGCCCATTCCTTCACCAAATCGATGCATTTCTTCCTGTTTGCTGCTGACAGGCACTGTCTGCAGCATGTGCCTCCACGCAAGACATGACTCTGGCCTCCAGTCGCACAAGATTCATCTTGGATAATAATACCAGTGCTTGGAGGCGCTGCGTTCTTTACGAAGATGCTGGACAGGGCTGATCCCTCAACAGCAATGCAACCGGTCCCCAACCACAGGCGCACCAAAGAAAGCATATCAGGATTGCCAAAAGAAGTGCAAGATCCTTCCTCTGATTCAAGATCTAAGCCATTGCACAGCGGGAGGCCCTCCAAATCTTCAACTCCTTGCTGCCTGGCCACAGCCTGCCTGTGGAAAACAGATTCTTCATGTCGGTTCCTGAGCTCTTGGGCACCAAATCGCGAAAACTGAGGCTTGAATGTGATCAGCCAAGCCCGTTGAAGCTTTTCTGAGGGAACCTTTGTGTTTAGTAAGATATACCAAATTATACCAAAATATTGGACTAATGAATTCCAGAATCAGGCCAAGAAGATTGGTGAGAATGGGAAACTTCAAGAACGTACCGCAGATCAGGCATTGGTGCGGGTTCTGCCTCATCTCTTTGGCAAGAGCATCATCAGTTCGCTTGTTCGGATGAAGCCTCTGCATGACCTGCACAAGGGATTCTGAGGCATTCTGATTGTTGAGGACGTGTTTGACTATATAGATCTATATAGCTAAAATATTCTAAGGGTATTCATGTCCAAGAATACTCAGGGAATATTTTAAAGGTCGATGGCCACAATGTTTCTTTTCAAAAAGAAACTACAAAGAACTGATCAAATGAGACAGTACAAAATATTTCAACTGTACGCAGCCTCTAAGCAACCCTTGGAATAGTTTTCCAGAGTTTGAATATGTTCCAGTAAAGTCTCTGGAAGATCATGTTGAAGGAAGACTATTGTGATATATTCTTACTGAATCTAATCAATGGTCATTATATATATATTATATTATATATTTCATATTTTTCACAATGTTTCATCATTGCTTTCACCACCCCACAATGGAAAATTATTCCACAAGTACTTGACCCCCAGGAGTCCCTTGGAATACTACAATGATGTTCACAGGCTATAGGGTCCAAATATGCCCAAAATCTGGAACATGTGCCACAACAAGCGCAAATGTTAAGAATCCTCCAAACATCTCCAAATTAGGTAAATATTCCAATAGTGTTTGACACCTATGAGACCTCTAGAATATTATTGATTGCACTTTGAAGCTGCTTACAGACTATAAATTACATCAATGTACGCTCAAACCAACCCTTGCCCCAAATCAGGCCTCTTCTTCTGAAAGCCGCTTGTATTGCCCAGAACGATCACTCTCCAAGAAGTTCAGGAGGTTGAAATCGGATTTCTCTCCCTTGGGAGGCCGGCCACGCCGAGCTTTCTTGCAGGCTGGCTCTACAGGAACACAGTCCTCCCCTCCCTCCACGGGAACATGGGGAACAATGACTCCATCACCTGCAGCAGCATCGACAGGCTCTGGCAGAGGACCTGTTGGCTCTGATGGCTTGCCTTTTTGGCGATCCATCTCGGCTGCAATTGTTGCAGCTGCCCTTGGAACATCAAAGGATGCAATCAAGTTCCGACAGATCAAGCAATTCAAGTTGTTATCACTGCGCTTGTGCAAGGTTCCAATCACAGCGGCCAGAAAATTTTGCCAATGACCTTTTTCAAGTCTGGCGCAATGCTGCTTTTGAAATTCTTCGTTGAATCGGACTCCGGCCTTGGCAAGAATTTTTTTCGCCAGCTTCTCATCCCTCCTCAACGCTTGTTGTTCGGTCCGGTTCTCCAGCACTTGCATCACACCTTTGGTCAAAGCCTCCTCAAAGCTCTGTTCGGCTTCGGCTGAATCAGTCTTCTCATCACTGCCCGCATCAGTAGGGGCAGCAGGCTTCTCACATGGTGGGCTTGGGGAAGTAGAAGAATTTGGATCGGCTGCACCAGCTGCAGCAGCTGCTTGTGCTGGCACTGCTTCAGGCTCTCTGGGTAGTGCCCTGCATGGTGTTGCCACAGGACGCAGCAAACGTTCCACCTTCACATGACCTTCTCTCTTCACATGATTGAAAGGTGCTGGAACCACCTCTGCTTTGGGCTTTACTGGTCTGGTGATTTCATCACATCTCTTGGCAAGGTCAAGCATCGCTTTCTCACTGACATCATGGTCTTCAATCTCAAAGTCCTCCATGGGTTTCAGCCATGCTTCATCGTGAGAGAGCAAACCCAATCCACTGTTCAACAGGGCCTGGGCAACCAGAATGGTACGGAAGCCGCATGACCAAGAATCCTTCTGCTGAGGCACGAAGAGGAGGCCAAGCTCGCATTTCGACATCCTCAAAACAAGGCGTTTCCAGTGACTCAGGTTGATTCGGGTATATTTGGGATCTCGAAAAATAAAATACAGAAAAATGTAAAATCTTATGTAATGTTTGGCCAAGGACCTCGGCTCAATGTGTTTCATCAATTTCGCAATCCGTTTGACCACATCGTCAGCACAGACTTCAATGGCCTCATCTCCCAGGCCATCTATGACAGCTGCTCGCCGCTCGTACCGACGGAGAACCATAAGTGCTTGATGCTTCTCGGTGTACCTGCATCTGGAAGGTATGAGGCCCAGATAGACCCAGTATATCCCAGTATCGACTATTCATGACTATTCTCTGAAATATTCTTTACAATCTCAAACATACTAAGACACACTAAACACAGCGAGCGGCAAAGGAACCATGATCAATTTGGGATATTTTTGCAGCGCCAGGAGATCCATCCGCTCGATGACTGACGGATTCAATACCGCTACATGCTCTGGCCACCCCGGGCCATAATGCTTTCTCACCACTCCAACCAGGCCGTGCAGAACTTGCCCAAAGTCAAGCATTTCTCCGTAGACAATCGGTGCATTTGGCCACCCGTCTATGATCCCACGCTCGACATCTTGCCACAGCTCCGTGTGGTCCTCGTGGAAACCCGGAAAACGATAGTATACAAATGTATATAATATTGTTTACCCAGCAACAACACAAACTCCCTGACAAACAAACTCAGAACCACATGAAAACCAATTATTACCAAAAGATATCAAAAGTATTCCAAATCATACCAAATATTATTACCAAATCAATCCAAGCCTCCCCAAAACCGCCCTTGGACTCGAGATACTGCACAAGGTCAGGAAATCTGTGCTTGCAAATGCGCAGGGGCGAAGCCGCAGTGAGTTTGAACTTTGCCTCATCGCGAAGTGAATGGAACGCCTCAGGAGCGCCTGGCTGGGTGTCGCAGAAACGGGCCCAGGCTGAAAGCTCCAGCATGGTTGTCTTCCAATATGAACGCCTAAGATCCCGAGATCACACTTGATCAAAGATGATCAATGCATCTCAAAGCCAAGACATCTACGGTGGATCTCAACACGTAAAAAAGCTGAAAAAAAAAAACAAACAGTAATCTAAAAATGATCAACAAAAAGAAAGCAAGCCACTGTTTCCTGAAAGGCATCTGGTAGAAGCTCTCTTTTGACATCTCGGTCGGCAAACCATCATGACTGCAAGATTCACAGTATACCTAAGCAGCTGCGAGATATTGTGGAATATAGATGGGATTTGATGGGTATTGCGTGGTATTGCCTGGGATTGCCGGGCCCCCCCTGGTATGCGACTGTAACACTACGTATGGATCGGGCCAAGGTACTTGATATGGCATGCGGATGTGCGCATCCAATAGGTCATCCCCAAATCCCCTTGCTGGATCCCAGCCATCGGCCTTCACTTTAGGCTCTGATTTGAACCTGACCGGAGCCAGAGTTGCCGTTTCAGTCTGCTCTGGAGCTGCCGCACCAAAACTCTGGGCTGGATCAGCCTTGATTGGAGGTTTGACCCTATCCGGGGTTCTCACACCAGGTGTCTGCTCTGGCCCTGAAGAAGCTGCAGCATCAGCATTCACTTCAGATTTGGTTCTCAGTTCAGCCTTGGGATGAGGTGTCTGCTCTGCTCCTGGGAGAACTGGCGCAGCTACCGGCTCTGCAGGGAGAGGAACCTCCAGGATGATTGGCAAATGTCATAATGAGGTGATGGGGCCAGCAAAAACAAAAATGTCCAAACAAGAAAAATTTTCAGAGAGTTTATGACATCTGATAAAGCGTCGAAATATTTTTTATAGTGCCCCATGTCTTGTTCATCCACTGTCCTTCGCCAAGTATCACCAAGTCGTATCACCAGAGACCCAAATTACTCAAAGGGTCTATAGCATCTAGACAACCATTGGATTATTTTAGGGTCGGAAACTCCTCCTATTTCCTCATAATCTCTGCGCCAAGCCACATCACCAGGCTTAGTTTGAAGTGGCTCTTCTGGAGGAGCTGTTTGCTGTGGCGCAGGTGTCTGCTCTGCCCCTGAAGCCTTCACTTCAGATTTGATGCTGGCATGGGTTCTCGGTTCAGCCTTGGGATGAGGTGTCTGCTCTGCTCCTGGAAGAACTGGCACAGCTACCGGCTCTGCAGGGAGAGGAACCTCCAGGATGATTGGCAAATGTCATAATGAGGTGATGGGGCCAGCAAAAAACAAGAAGTTCCAAACAGCAAAATTATTAAGAGAGTTTATGGCATCTGGTAAAGCATCGAAATATTTTATATCGTGCCCCATGTATTGTTCATCCACTGTCCTTCACCAAGTATCACCAAGTCGTATCACCAGACACCCAAATTATCCCAAATTATTAAAGGGGTCTATAGCATCTAGACAACCATTGGACTATTTGGGGATCAGTAATCCCCCCTATTTTCCTCATAATCCCTGCGCCAAGCCACATCACCAGGCTTAGTTTGAATTGGCTCTTCTGCAGGAGGCGTCTGTGCTGGCACAGCTGCTTGCTCTGAAGGCGGAGGAAGGTCCTGATGAACATTGATCTTGTCAGGAAAGTGGCTACGACATGTGTGGGATTGTGTGGACATGGCCTACCATCCTCTATTCCCATCCAATACTATGTTTTCCTATTCTATCTTCATCCTCCTGATTCCTGTGTGAGATTTTGTCCAGGAATGTCAAACCTCCGGCTTACTGGTCTATCTGATACGACAAATCAGCACCACGTTCCATCCCTCACGCAGGCCTCCCCGGGATCACCCATGTCTGGAGGCAAATCAGTTGAAGGAGGTAAAGGTGGCTCCTGGACATTTGTCAACTTGAGCTGGCTGCAGCTATGTAATGCTGAAGGCTCCGGCTTAGGCTTAGCTGTCAATGATTAAAAAAATATCCACCCAACCGCGTTCCATCCCCAATGGACGCCTCTGGAGGAAGATTCGCATCAGACTTGCTGTTCTGCTCACCATGCTCATCAGGAGGTTGGTCACGATCAACGGCCGTGTCCTTGGAAGGAGGTCATGACAGGCTCAGGTAACGGCAGGTGCATCTGATATATATCTTTCATTATCCTTTGTGGAATATATTTGTGCGAAACTGAAGTTAGCTGAGGTACTGAAGCAAGAGAGGCAAGTGTTGCGGTGAGTCTGATGCTGTTGACCCAATATCCGTGGTGCCAAACGCAACAATGGTGAGATGCCCGCTTGTGGCCCGTTGACGTCAAGCTCTCACTGTCCTACAGGCATGAGCGCATGGCGGAAAAGGAAAATATAAATTAGAATATAAAACAATGAAATTCAAGCAGCTGTTGTATTCTTGTATATTCTTTTGTTATCTTTGGGCCAAGCTGCACATTGCGAAACCCATCGGCCATGTTTGGCTTTCCACACGGCAGGCTTCATACTGCCTGTGCCTAGGACAAACAAATATTCAAAAACTATTTTATGGGTATGTCACATCTGGCAATCCCACTGTATATATAATACTCTTTCCCTGATACTCAAGGATATATATATATATGTGTAAATATTCCTTGGGTATGTGACATGTACCACACCCCCTATATATATATATATATTTTTCAATAATGTTAAAAAATCTATTGAGTTTACTAAATGATACTACCGTCTACTCAGCAAAGTAACAAAATTAAACATATAGGCACTTGACCAATAGGCACAATGAGGCACAACTCAACCGCTTTCAAGTGATGCAATACATTACAATGACAATATTTACATGCTGTCCGCCCTCTGACACAATTTCCCACCCCTCCCAAAAAAACATGGGGCTTCGTCCGGCTCCCTGCCCACCACCATTTGACTCAGGCACACATAGCAACATGACATTTCTCAGGAGGAATCGGCGGGTCACCATGTGGCGCCGACATGGTGCGTGCTAGGATCGAACGGCTTCAACCCCAAGCCTTGAAATCCCAAACTGCTCTCCGCCGGCATTTTCGCTGACATGAAATGCAGAATCCCTCCGTCTCACGTTTTGGATGTCACGATCTCCGTTGAAATTCCCAGTTCTGGAAAAGACCAGAACTGGCACCCAGTTCTGGAAAAGACCAGAACTGGCAACACAAAAAAAACTCCTAGGTAGATTATTTAGCCAGTGTCGGATGAAAATAGCCGACACTGGAAGAAATGCACACAACACACACCCAGTTCTGGAAAAGACCAGAACTGGCAACACACACAAAAATCCTATTTAGTCCTATTTAGCCAGTGTCGGAAAATTGAATAGCCGACACTGGAAGTTGAGCCCAACGATTCCTAAAGAAAAAGAAGATGAGTTGCACCTTTCGGCGCTATTTTACACCTTTCGGCGTACTAGTTACAAGTAGTGTTTCTTTATCTTTTTGTGGGCTGGGCGTGCCCAAGCTAAGGCCCATGAACGCCAGCAGGATGAAGATGATAAAGCCCATGGAATCCTATGTTGATAAATAATCCAGGTCATACCCCCAGTTATACCTCCCTATACCCCCTGTTCAAAAATAATCCATGGAAACTAATCCAAAAAAAAATAATCCATGAACTCACGGTCAGACCTGGATTAATTAACTAAGGCGCCCCCCCATATGTTCTTTCATTTGCCTTTCACTTTGCATTCATTTCCTCTCAATTTCCTTCAAATAGGTAATATGCTCAAACCGGTCATGTGGGTATCCTCTCAAGCGCATTCTTGTCATAGTTTGTTATTGTTATAGTTTTTGCTGTTATCGTGTTGGAGGCCTGTGCAGGTTGCCACAGGGTCCATGAACATGTACATGCATAAGCTCATTATTGTTTCTGACTCTTATCGTTTTCTGGGCCAGCACTGCCGTGTTAAGGGGCGGGCCACTACTCTCATGGGCCAGGCGCGGGGGTTCTTGCACTAGCCCAGGTCTTTCTACCCAGTCATCTTGAAAAAGTCTTTCTGATTTTGCTCGCCACACAAAAATCTGGGTGTTGCTCCATGAGCCTCGGTGTCCCTCTGAGTGGCCGCACGAGCTCCTTCGGGGCCACTAAGCCATTGCCCCGCTGGGGGAAGCACCGCACCTGTCATCGAACACATCCAGCACCATCCAACAGGTCACCACCTGTTGGATGGTCCTCTCTCTCATGCTGTTCTTTTTGTTGGGCACTGTGACACCACACCACCTCAACTCCACCTTCTTCGGATGCGAACCCTCAGTCCCCTCCGAAGCTTCTGCCCGAAGCTAGAGGCGTTGGGCGCCAAACCAAGCGCCGGTGGCCGATGACCTCCGTGCTGTGCTCAGGTCCACTATAGGTCCTATGTTGGTTTCTTGAACAGTATTGTATTGTCCTGGTCAAGTTCCTCATTACTTTTCAAGAATCAACCAGAAGAGTGCTTAGTGCTCCAAGATAATTATTTGCCACGATGTGCTCCGGCTTTTCTTCTCATCCTTCGAATAGGGTCACCGATGGAGTGCCCCTACACTGGATCTCCATGAATGATCTCCAGCCCTTGGACCATCCGGGTGGCTGAATTGAGCTGAAGACCTCTCCAACGTCCCTCTTGATTGGCCTCAGGAGCTTCTGAACAACCTCGCCACAAGTCCCTCAGCAGCGAGGCACATGTTCTTTCTCACGAAGTTGTTGTTTTCTTGTTGGTTTATGCGTGGCAGTCTACAAGTAATCAACAGAACACATGACCCTCCAGGTGTGTGGTCGGGGGGGCCACCTCCTTCAGGTGTTTTCGGCACTCCTCCAGGGGGCGTTTTCGTGGCCCGTCCGCTTGACCCATGGGTCGGGGCGTGTGTCGCGTGTCGCTCGGTGTGGATGGAGGTGTTGATGCATGATCTCATGTGCCACGGGGGGTATACGGGGGTGTGCTGGTTGATCCCCAAAAATCGGTCCCAAGTCAGGCAGTCGCCTGAACTCTTTTCAAACAACATGAGGCACAATCGGCACAATCCCCAGAATCCGCGAGGTCACTTTCTTGAAGTGAACATAGTCTAGTGAACCTGGTGAGACAGCGATTGGCATGGGGCTTATGGAGAGTCTTGGATCACCACTTGGATGGCCTGATGGGCCTAGTAGGGTTAGTAGACTCTTTTTGGTGAACCAGAAATGAACTACCAACCCATTGGTCAAGCAAAGCCCCACATTGCCGGGCACACGAAAACGCATGAACACCTGCATGCTGGCTCTCTTTAAACAGGCCGCATGTCTGGACTTCATGTGGGCCGCATGCCTGGCATCCTCCCTGCGTTTCCGCCAGGTCGCTGTCGCACCACTTCTCGTGTGCGGTCCATGTGAACCGCCGCCCTCTAGGACCCGTCTCGTGGCGGGCGGAAAGCGTCGCTGAGGGCCAGTCCATCAGCCGAGAAACATCCGAGATGGAGATGGATTCGGGTAGGACAAATGGATGATGTACGTGATGGACCTGTTGGATCGAACACGTTTTGAGCTTCGCTTCTTCCGATGCTGAAGATCTATAGTGCAACATGCTGCTCACACCTTTTTGAGATGAGTCCTAATTCCAGCGATTGTGTGGAGACCATTTCCAAAAACATATCTCCGAGAAGAGCTTCCAGTTTGGTTCTTAGGCTCTAGGCCTAGGGGAAAAACCACCATATCCAGTTTGCTGGTAAACTTGCTCACCTCTCTGCTGGACGTCCGCTTCGACGATCCTTCTTCCAACTTCCCCCCGTTCGTCCACCTCGTCGCGTGCTTCGCTTCGTTTTCCCTCTGAAGCGCGTCGAACAGCGAGGCAACTCGCGAGTCCAGCAGAGTGAAACGAGTCCAGCAGAGGTTCTTCCTTCCAAGTTTTTGGGGTGAAGATGGCTGCGAGCCCGGCCAAATGACAGCATTTTGGAGAACTCAACAAGCATGACGGATCTACTAAGCCCTGGTGGTGGGAACCATATAGAAACCTGAAAGCCACTGGGTTAAGAAAAATGGTCTTCCATGGTCTTCCGTTTTCAGGTTCGTTCCCTGGTGTATATCTGTATATCAGTCTCTAGAATTACGTGCTGAAAAGGGCCTAACAATGGCTAAAAACGTTTTTTGGCCGTGGCTCTTGTGCTGAAAGTCTCCCCATGGCATGGCACCTCATGGTGACCATGGCTGACATGACAGCCCCGCCAAGACTTTCGCCCTGCGCGGGGGGGGCTTTACAAAAACTACGGTTCCAACATAAATACGATTGAAAAAGCTCAGAGGTAGGCGAAGGTGTACACTCCGTCCTTATTCAGATCACCAGAATCATGTACACTTCAACTTTACACGGGACCATCTCCGTCCATCTCCCACATAGATACATCATGGATAATGGCGGAGCTTTTGACACCTCACCAACCAGGCGTAGGCCAATACGCCCAGAACAATATGCCGGCTCCCCAAGAGGAAAAAAGCGGAACATCTCCCGCGTGGCGCGGGAGAGGCGCGACGACTCTGGGGACTCAGCTCGTCTCAGGAGAGAAGCTGCGGTTGCACTTGGGCCGTCTTCGCGACCGGCGTAGGCGTCTTCGGGACCGGCGTAGGCGTCTTCCCCCAAGGGAAGGCAAACCAGTGAAGACCACCCTTGAGGCCGGGGAGGGAGATCAAACCTGAGAGGCGTCCACACGTTGACATCTTAAGTATAGTATAGTATAGTGGATTGAGAGTAGAGTAGATGGCACAAACCCCAATGTCGGTGGTTTATATGGAACCCCCATCCAAAGGACATCCTGAGTCCTGGGGTCTGTGCCATCAAACCTCTGAAACCACTGTATCACAGGAATTTAATGAGGAGCACTATAGCTGTGGTCCTAATAGGTGTCATACATTCTTGCCGTGTCCTATATACGTTTTTTTTGCTTGAACCAATGCCCAAGTGGTGCTTGACCGGTCTTCCTGCGTAGGGCTTGGTGTTGACTCTTGATGTGTAACCCTCCTCGAGATGTACGTCCCCAGGATTGGGGGGTTATTTATCACCAGTCAACATACCAACAATAACATACAGTAATCATAGATACATACCAACATAATCCACCATATACCTAATCCTGATCAATCAAACAAACAAGTAACCAACCAGCACCGCCCAAAGAGTGGTTCTTGGAAGGAATGGTCATCATATGGTCTTTCGGGGTCTTTCATGTCTTTCGAACTCGCAGTTCGGGCTGTGCTGGATGGAAAAACAGAAAACGCTGATGATCTCATCGCAGCTGCTCGCGCGGCGCCCGGAGTTTTGGACCTCTCTGATGCGCAAATCATCCACGGAGGCGGCGCTGTTCATCTTCTCCACCTGGGATGGAGTGGAGACAAGGAAAACACGTGGACAGTGGGACATCAACTTGGAAACCAACCAGTCTCTGGCTGCAAAAACCAGGCCATCCTTGGATGTTTGGGTAGCTTGTTGAAGGTGTGTTTGATAGCGTTTGATCTCCCAAATTTCACTCAGAACATGTCTTTAGAGTCTTTACGTTGTTGACATTTTGCGGTGATATAAATCATGTCGTCATGGTAGTGAAACAACATTAATAAAAAAAGAACATGATATCGAAATTGGATGAAATTGGGTCCGTTTCAACACCGCGTAGTTCTGTTTTTGCGGAGTCTATATATATATATAGTTGCCGTGCAGCCGTTTGTAGTTGCGTTAAAGTACGTTTTGTTGAATGCTCCACCGCTGGGTGACAATCTTTCTGGGCCACTTAGACCCCTGCCAACTCTTGCCATGAATGATTCTGCATTCTGCAGCTGACATCTCACTACTGGTCCCCTCATATACTCCATTGCACTCCTTCCAAACAAGTGTCCCAACAAAAGAAACAAAACGAGTCCAAAGAACACATCAACAAGATTGAGCATGTATATATATATATATATGTATGTATATTAGAACAACGATGGTTGGCTTGACCTTGTGTGGGTTCCCCGGTGGGCGGTCTTTTTCACACGGTCAGCGAAACGGGCAACTCATCAGGATCATCAGGCACCCAGTGAGAAGTAAGAACTCTATAGCTTTCAGCCCTCTGGAGTCTGGAGGGAAAAACACATACCCCACCCACCGTCTCAAGCCACGTAAACTGCCGCGTATTCATGAGCCTGCACCTGCAGCGGCACAGACGCCTCGGCAACGGAAACGGTGACCCGTCGCCCTTTGGTGGCCCAGAGGGGGTTCACATCAACACCCAGGAAAACGGTGTCCAAAAGATGTTCAGGTGGGAAAAAGGTTGGTCATGGTTGGTCCATTGCCCACTGACAGGTGGGAGGGAGTGTTTCACTGAATCACTATGATGAGTATACGAGTTATGAGGCCACTGAAAGATGGGAGGAGTTGATTACCCTCGACATGAAGTCTCGAGCTCTCGGGAGGGTCCATTAAGGAAGAGTCGAGCCGATCAAATCCATCCGACTCCCGGTTCGGCCGGGTTGGTGGAGAATGGCCCCCAAAGACGAGATTCTTGGACCACTTCCATGAGGTTTTCAAGGGGTTTTTCACTTCCATGTCTTGTTGAAAAGCCTCGGAGGGCGGGATCTGGGGACAAAGGCCTCCAACGCTGCCGTCTGCGAACGGCGACCCTCTCGGCGACCCTCTTGAACCTCCCTCCAGAGTCCGGTCTTTGTGCAAAACCGTGTGGCCGAGATGATGCGGCAGAAGTCTTCGGAATGGATGGCCACCAGTTTGCAAAAGCTGTGGCCTTTGTGGTTGAAGGAGTTCCGAAGGAGTCCCGTTGTTCTTTCTGGCGGAGGGAGGTGTGTAAAAAAAAGGTTTGGAAGTGAGGACGAGCTGAATGAGTCGTGAACAAACATTGGTTTCTACCAAAATGAAGGAGAGGGAGAAAAGCAACAAGGAAACAAAGAAGGAAGTGGCTAGGCAAATCTCTCCATTATATATATACTTATATGCGTAGAAATTAATGTTTTGCAGTACTTATACAAAGGGTTTAACATTGGAATGCATACGTTTGGGTCATTGGGCCATTTTATGCCAAGCCTTGAATATGGGCATTTCCTGGCGACAGTAGGTGACTCTACATCTACATCTAGCATTTTGTTGGTATAATTACAAGCCGCCTTGGACGTGCTTGCTTGAGAACTTCCAGCCACAAATGTACCACACCTTCCTAAACTGAGGAACACAAACCTCACTCACGCTCTGAACTCCAGGTTCCTCCGCAGTGCGAAGCGGCAAAGCGACCATGCCCCACCGAACGCTCCCCGCTCCCCTCCACCTGAAGCGATCCCAGCGGCAAACCAGGTCGCCCACATGGTTCCAGGAGGTCCACAAACACATCCTAAACGGAACCGAAGAACTGCCCACCCATCCATGTCGGTCGATCAGGGCCGATCCGACCACCAACAAACCGCAGTCGCGTAGCTCGAGGTGTCGAGGCGGCCAGAAAGCGGGGGTCTCCGGTCCACCGGCTTTCCATGGCCCCAGGCATTGTGATTTGATCTGAATCGTATCTGATACTTCTTCCTATAGGTCTTTGTGTAAAGTAAACATCTTGACACGTCTTAACCAGACTCACTAAGATGCAATGCGCATGAGAAAAAACACCTGCGAATCGGCATAGAGGTGGAAATACTAGCCCGTGAGATATGCTCTCTAGCCGCTAGACATCTATAGATATCTATAGCCCTTCAAGAAAAGCCACGGCATCTTGTTCCTTGTGCTGGAGTGCTCGGCGCATGTCAATGTGCAGCCAAGGCTCTCCGAAATCCAAAGGTCATTTGATGCATCCTTAGGATTAGTCATTGGTCAGGGGCCTGCAACAAGTTAACAAACTCCACTCCGAACTCTGAAAAACTCAACACCCCAAAGTAATTCCAAAGTACCAATTAGATCCAATTAGAATGCGGCTATACTGCAGCCACAACTGGAACTTGAAACATGATCTTCCCCTCTGATAAGTGGTGCTCTCTCCCGTTGGGGGATTTCCTTTCCCAAAAAACATGGCTCTCACAGCCTCCCGGCCTTCTCAAAGCCTCCCTGCAAATAGCGCATGGAGCCGCTGGTGACCATGTATGCGGAGCAGGCCGCGTGCCCTGCGCAGAAGACCACGTCATCCTCCGCCAAGCTGTGGAGCGAAATCGCTTGGCTGGCCTCGAATGCTGTGGGTCAAATGACCCGAGGTGGAGGGCTGCGGCTCAGTTCAGAGTGAAAAAACAAGAACATGGTCAACTGATGTGCAAGGGAGAAAGGGTCTCACGTGGGCCCCTACGAGTACAGTCGTTGAGGGCTGTTCTGTTTCCAAAGAATCTCCAAGTTCGGAGTCAAGTTTGGGGGATTGTGAAATCATTAGCATGATTTAGCATGACAATACAGTTTCCTTGGGCAAGTAAGCGCGTCCCTAATTACTAAACCTGACCTCACTTTACTGGAGTTGATGATGCAAAAACATTACTCAATGACTCACTGAGGTGAAAAACACCAGAAAATCGCACATCAAGGACTAGGTCCAGGTCGTTTTGGTCGTTGGACACTGGATCCTTGGACCTGTTTAGGGCAGGGTGATGACATGTGAGAGAACAAGTGTCCCTGTGGGTTGGGGACTTGGCCGAGACGGAAAGAGACGACCCGTCCACTCTCTCTCCGGGACCCGTTCGAAGCCAAGGGAAAGCGGCCCATCGGCTCTTATACATACAGCAAATTATTATAATATGATTAAAGTTTAAGGCATCCCATATGCCATATGCTCTTATAATTGCCGATTTCAGCTTGTTTTTTCTTCTCTCTCTCTCTCTCTCTCTCTCTCTCTCTGCCTCTCTCTCTCTCTCTCGTCTGCATCGGCTGGTGCGCACATACTCCAAAATCACCCAAGTCGACCAGGTGGTGGGCAACTTCCTAAAGCCTACCGAGATCTACGCTGAGTCAGTCAAACACCTGCAAAACGCTTCCAGTCCCCCTGGGCCCATCATCCCGTGATCCCCCTGGGGCCCATCATCCGGTGATCCCCCTGAGGCCCATCATCCGGTGATCTGCTGGTGTTTCACCGAAGTGGCCAAGGTTTGCAAGCTCTTCCCTTCTTGCAGGCTCAGGCCATTCCCCAGCACGTCCGCAAAGAAGACCATCCGCATGAGCTGCGAGCTGTAGCGTGCCAGCTGCAACTCCGCCTTCCGCCGAAGCCATCGAGCTCGGTTCGATCAGAAGGACGAGATGAGCCGAAGCCATGCGGATGCGGATGCCATCGGTCCCGGCATGCGAGAGGGCTCTGTTTCTCTGAGGTCCTGGATGGACCTCTTGGCTGATCTAAAAGCCGAACAGAAGTCGCAGCTTCGAAGACCCTCGCTCTGAGTATGTCTGCTCCCCCAAAGACCCACGTGAAAGCCGTCACACCCAACCACAGAGGCGCGCCCCCGGCCATCTGCCGGGGCCTGTGCCCACCGCCGCCCGGCAGCACCCGGTCACGCAAACCTCTGTTTTTGCTGAGGGATGAGACAACATTTTTTGGGGGGGGAGTTGATGGGGGTGGGTGGTCCGGAGGTCATACTGTACAGGTGTTCTAGGTCATTTATAGGTTATGGGCCATGTTCGGCTCATCAGGGTAATCAACAGGATGCACCACTGACATGCACTTGTTGGACTCACTCACCTACTATCGCCTACTGGTCAAAGAACACATCGTTAAGACCCTGTGCTCCTGGGGCCCCTCATGTTTCACAAGAAAAACCGACGCCCCACACCCACTTTCGACACCAAACAGGTGGAGAACACTGTCTCTGAGTTCCGTCTCTTCCGGACGGACGCCTGGAGGGACTTGGAGAGGAAATCCAAGATGTAAGGATCATCTGAATTGGCCATCCGCTCCTTTTCGCTCTCTCGCGTCTCGCACGAGAGAGCAAGAACTCGCTTCCGTGTGTCAAGAGGTTTGTGGCCCACCAGGTCCGTGAGAAGGGTTGAGAATGGTGATTCAGGCGGTCGGTGGACGAATGGGAGAAAGAACGTAACTTGAAACACCCTGGAAGTCTAAGTTTCACACACCTCTCTCTCTCTCTCTCCATCGCCCTCTCCAGGAGATTAGCCTTTGGGCCTCCGAGCCCTCGATGTGAGCGAACCAGCGAGCAACAATTTACCCTTTCGGGTCCATGTCACCACTTTGGAAGGAGTCACAAGTTGCATGTGGGCCCTGTCTTCGTTGAATGCGGCCGCGGGATTGCATCGACTCCAAGGCCGTGAGCGTCGCCACGACCGAGAGTCGGGCGTCGGGCGGAGGGTCGTGAACTCCCGCGGTTGGATGGACCGAGAAACTGGGGGACGCTCTTGGGGACTGGGATCCACTTGGACAGGCCCTTCCTGAAGCGTTTTTTCCGCGTGAGGAACCTGAAGATAGATCGATGCCATAAGCCCAAACGGACCACCAAAGCATCCTCTCCACAAACTTGGGGCTGACCCTGGAGGGTGCACCCTCTCTTTTGAGCCATGCAATCCACGTACATATACCTACAGTATACCATCTTCATCCATCTTCAAACCACGGCATGCCAAGGCTCATGATAGGTGTAGTGCAGAAAACGCGTCACGCGCTGGGAGAGACCGTCATGCACTTGGCTGGTCCGCAGAAAGCGACGCAGCAATCCAAACTGTTGGGTTTGCTCCATCCTCGGCACCCACCGAGGTGACCGCTGCATTGACTGTCTTTTGGTGCTCTGACTTCGACTTCCACACATGGGTGAGTCCATGGAATGGACGCTGATTGCCAAAGCAGGGGGATGATTGAAACATCAACCATGGACCCCATAATGATACATATGCCACAGTCTCTATCATTTTTCATGAAAACACGATTCGGGCTCAAACACTGAGTTGCGCAGAATGAGTTGCACCGGTGCAACCAGTAGGAAAAGTAAGTAGCTCAATCCAACAGAGCTAAGGAATTCCATGTGCATGTTCTTTGGCTGTTCTACTGTCTGCTACGCACGCATGAGGAATACATAGGAATACCCTTCCAAAGAGCATGAGTCAACTACTGAGTGAAAACTCCCTCCTTCTGCCGCTAGCTACAGCTGGGGCCACCAAGGCCGAAGAACGGCCAGGGTAGCAGGTAGCAAAATCTGATCGAAAGCCAGGGCTGTTTGAAGTAAAGCTTCCTTCAATCATCTTGTTGAAGAGCGTTGCCATTATATTCAAGCATCCCATTTCCAGATTCCATTTCTAGACTTGGCGACCCTCCAATCGACCAACATGACCAGCCGACCGTTACACGACGTCCAGGTGGAACCGACCCCACTTCGACGGCGGCGGCTTCTCGGAGACCCAAGCATCCGTTTGCTCTGCAAGGTGCTCACCAGGGACGTCATGGAGCCTGGGAGCCGATGAAACCAGGCGATCGCTGAGCGAGCGATGGACCCCATCCACCCAATTCATGGGTCTCTCTCTCTCTCTCCCTCCCTCCCGGTGGTTTCACCTCGAAACAATTCAATCATCCCAAGTTAAAGGTTGAAAATCAGAAACATCTGATCCTACGCAAATCTGATGATGTCTGATGTCTGGGAAGCTCACCACCCATGTCGATGACCTGTCTAAAACCATAGATTGACCGAGAAAAGGCCCGGGGGGTGGTGCCGAGGCACGCGGTGGCCGTGCCGAAGAATGGGGATGATCAAAGGATCTATGCCTCAATCCTCCATAGTACAACTTCGGGCTGTTTGGGTTTATGTTGATTTGAATAGCATGGATCGTATAGTCTTGGGGTATGGTTTTTGAAACCCTTGTCCCCCGGACAGATTCTGCTGTTCATTCTGTACTCATATGGTTGCTGGATGTGGGGTTTACATAGGTGTTCTTGTGGGAGTGGGTCAACAACCTGTGGCCTTCCTTCCTTCCTTCTAAAGGAAACATGACTTAGGCCCTTAGGCAGTGGAACCTCAGACCGCATTCTTGATCCGTTGCCACTTGAAGAGCTTGAACCCTAGCTTGATCTCGTCCTTTACTTCGGTCCCACTGACACTCTGTTGAACTGCCACGCATTAGGAAAGCCTTCTGAACACATGTCTTCCCTTATATAAGAAGCCTTTACATGGCATCAAGATGCACGAAGAACCTTCCATGTCTTCAAAGGCGGCCTTTTCGAAGGATCAGGTTTTTTGGGTCTATCCTAGTACCTGTCACAGTGGATGATGGTTAGAAAAAGGCCTTGTTCAAACCATGATGAATTTGCTTTGTTAACCGGCTCCTGTTGCAGGGTCAGTTCGGACAGACCCGAATTAGTTTGATCATGGGATGCTTCCCGTACTGCTTGCGGCTCCGGCCCCGGCTCCGGCTCCGCAGAAGACGCTCCGCTCCGCTCGGCTCCGAGCCGCCCATGATCGTGGAGAAGATGATCAAGGACACCTCACAGCGCGGCGTGCCGAGGCGGAGAGAGGACGCCCACGCGGCTTGCTCTCGCATGAAAAGCAGACGCCACTCACGCGGCTTCACAGTCACAGCGAAAGGCACTTGACGGAAGACCCAAGGAATCCACCACCATTGGGCCATTTGGTGGCCAAGAGTGCATAGATCTGGATCCAGTGCGCCTTCCAACGTGGAAGGTATCAGTATCAAAAAAAAAACATCGCAGATACCAGGGTCAATGGACCCCACCTGTCCAGAGATTGAGCAAGTCTGCAGCAAAGTTCCGCGTGCAAGCAAATGCGCATGCGGGTGGGAGAAGAGTAGTTCTAATTTCTAAGTGTGCCTACCAAACCTACCAACACCATCAGAACCTTTCACATCCTTCCACTGAAGTGCCGGGTGAGCTAGTTTCGTAAAGTTGCGCATCATAGTTGTCCATGTTCGAATAAGGACCATCCGTGCGCGTTTTTGTCAGCATTCACGCAAGAAGAATATCCTCATAGATCTCGTCCATCTGTTCAGTTCTTAATTTGGTGAATTCACCTCCAAATTCAGCTCAGAAGATCCTCAAGAAGATCCTGAAACACTGAAGAAGACCAATCAAATGATTTCTAGTGAACCATCTGGTAGGATGGGGTTGGCACTAAACCACTTATATAATCATTAGACCGGCAAATTCTTCAGAACCATTAAATTATCCTGTTCTGATTCGGCATAACGAATCTCCTCCGATCTCCTTCTCATCCCTCAGCTCAGCCCCTGGGAATTGGTCCAAGGGACGAGGGCCACGCCCGCGCTGTAGATGCCCTCCGCCTCGTTGGTCGCCTCGATGTTCGTGCCACCGATGCCCAATTGGGAGAAGGCCCATCTCAAGGAGTGGGTGTATTGCCTCAGGTTGATGATGATGATGATGATGATGATGATGATGATGATGATGATGATGATGATGAAGACTGGAATGAAAATGATTATCCTGATCAGGATGAATGATGAATGATCACATGCAGCACCCAAACCCGGAGTTGTTACTGTTCAAATTTTGTGGCTGACATGGTCCGCCGCCCAAAGTAAACATCTCGAAAGATCTCAAAAGGCTGAAGTGAACCTCAGCAAAGGGGTGACCTAAGGGGTGTATGGTGTATTGTCTCAGCTGGTTAGGGCACCCAGTGAGGCCTGCGGTGATGTAGGGGTGCCTCGAGCGGGAATCGAAGTCCTACGCGGTCGAACGAAACAGCGCTCGGCACTGTGAGTGGCGTACTGCGTACTTGTGCTAAACAGTTCCCGCTTCCGGAGCTGATCCTCAACTAGTGTGGGGGCAAACCATTGCTTTGGGGGGAGGAGAACCGGATGCCTCGTTTGGTCTGGCCTCAGGGTGGTCGAACGCGCCAAGTCCGCTGTCCAAATGAGATGGACGGGAGAGTTCTTGGGCAGAATTGATCCCGGGATTTGTTCAACATGAGCAGGATGAATCCAGCCCTACTTGTCAGGATTAAGAAGCATCCTGGCCCTGCAGCACCCTGCAGGGTCGTTCAAAGACAAATTCGCTGGTGGTGTGGGTGCACCAAAACGGGAAAGCATATCTTCACTCCAAATACCCGCACTCTAACTCTCCACAAGCTCCACCCACGTTACTCAAATGCAGCTCCGAGCCGCAAGGTGAAGCTGGAGTTCTCAGCCCCTGAAGCTTCCACCCAAGTCATCCGGCCCCCCAGGTCCAACGAGCCGATGCCGAACCAACCGCAGGCGATGAAGTGCTCCAGCAAGATCATCCCTCGCATCGGGTCGCTGGAGAGCTGGGCGGTGTCGGGGAGCCCGGCCAGGTGGGTCGGGGAGCCCGGTCGGGTCGGTGTTGGTGTCGGGGCGGGCGGAGTCGTACCCCTTCTCTCTCCCCTTCTTTGTGAGGCTCAGCCAGGACAGTGGACATCGGTGCACTATGACTCGTGGACATCTGCTTGAAGCCGACTGACTTTGTGAGTGGTTTCTTGCCTCAAGGATCGAGCCATCCATGGTTCCCAACCCCCAGAAACTGATTGATGCTCACACCGACCTCAAACCAAAACCACTCCAAATCGCCTCGCGCCTATGATCAATAAGAGCAGGGTGAACTGTGTATAGGCCACCTCCGATTCGAACTTGTCCCGCAGGAACGAGGCGAAGCGCGTCAGCTTCCCCAGCTGCACCACCCGGAAGAGCCGTAGCAGTCGCAAGATCCGTGTACTCGCACGGTCCGCCTGGAAAGTGAGAGAGCTCCCCTGAGTTCTTCACTGACAGTTGGAGTAGAAAACTGGACAATTTGCAGGTGTGGAGACCAAACAAATGATCAACATATAGGACCTCTGGTTGAACCCCAATTCCTAACACCTACGGTATCTTAATGCTTCGTCAAATTTGAAATACGAAGCCATGTACGGCTGCTTGGACCAACATCTTACATCCTCTTCCTTCCCAGTTGGTGCTCCAGCTCACCAACCTGACTCTGTCAGCCAGGTACGCCAGGTACCTATACCTTGGGTACTACCTTGGGTATCTCCCATTCCCAGGGTCCAGTGGATGATGCTTCAGTTGCCCGACTGCTCTATTGTGCCGACAGCTCAACCCAGGTGTGGGACAGGCCGCACCGGTCGATCGCGCGAACCTCGGAGTCGCTGAAGAAGGTGATCACCAAGTCGATGAGGGTGACCACCAGGTCCGGCAAAAACCAAGACTTCAAATACTGCAGGGCGATGTCCTAAAAGTTGGAGAAACCAACAAAGACATACAAACACCCCTGGAAGGGGTCTACAGATATGAGACATATCATGACATATCAATATGTGGGATCATCATATGACTGTGCGTGTGTTTTTGTTGACGTCCTCCTTTGATCCCACACACGCATGCTTCAACTTCTACTGTATGAGAAAAACAACAAGACTATATATACACAATTCACAATTTATCATAAACACATATTGTGTTTGTGTGTATAGTCACATATAACTTGTACATAAATATGCACTCTAGATCACGCCCGTATCTTATTACTTATATATCTATATATTGTGCATGGCCGCGGCGCTGTAACAGAGACCACAACTGGATGCACAAAAATTAGCACCAGAAAAATGCTTTAAAAAACCTTTAGATCCAATTGGATGGCACTCTCACCACAGGAACTCCTTTTTTCACTCTCATCTATGGGCCCTCCTGCCCGGTGAAGCCATGGGAAGACACAAAACCCTTCCATCAAGCAACACATCAGTAGGTTGTGAAAAAATATACCTCAAGTAGCATTAAATAGGTCGAGTGGTGTTCGTCTATAGTAGTAGTTGTTTCGGTCCTGTGGGAATTGGGACGTGCTTTGTCTTTAAATGCTTTCGTGGGGCTGGGTTGTGTGGGCAATACGACGGTTTTTCTTTTAAAATGATTTCGTGGGGCGGCCCGGGCAACCGGGTGCTGCTATTCCCTGTAAATGCTTTCGTGGCGCCGGGTCCTGTGCGAATTGGGGCGCATTCGGGGCGGCGCAATTCCTTGCAAATGCTTTCGTGGGGCCGGGTCCTGTGGGAACGGGGGCGCCGCTTTGCCTTTAAATGCTTTCGTGGGGCTGGGTCCTGTGGGCAAGCCGACTGCTTTTCCTTTTCAAATGCTTTTGTGGGGCTGGCCATTGGAAACGGGGGCGCTGCTTTTCCTGCGAGCGCTTTCGTGAGCCGGGTCCTGTGGGAATTGGGACGCCGCTTTGTCTTTAAATGCTTTCGTGGGGCTGGCTCCTGTGGGCCCATTTTTTCCTTTTAAATGTTTTCGTGGGGGCCCTGTGAGAATTGGGGCTGGGTTCTTCCTTCAAATGCTTTCGTGAGGCTGGGTCCTCTGGAATTGGGCGGGCCGCTTTTCCTTTAACTGCTTTCATGGGGCTGGACCCTGCGAGCCGGCGCGCGGAACCGGGGCTCGGCCTTCCCTGTAACGGCTTTCGTGGGGCTGGGCCCTGGGGACCCGGGCGCCGAACCGGGGCACGGCTCTGGCGGCTGGGTCCTGGCAACGCTTGCGTTTCTAGCCATTCTCTTGTGCTTTTTCTTGCGCTAGATTTCGTCAAATCTGGTGCTATTTTTTGTGCTTCCAGTTGTGCTTTTTCTGGTGCTAAATTTCGTCAAATCTGGTGCTAAATTTCGTCAAAGCTGGTGCTAAATTTCGTGAAATCTGGTGCTAAATTTCGTCAAATCTGGTGCTAAATTTCGTCAAACCTGGTGCTAAATTTTGTGCATCCAGTTGTGCTTTTTCTGGTGGTAAATTTCGTCAAATCTGGTGTTTAATTTCGTCAAATCTGGTGCTAAATTTCGTCAAATCTGGTGCTGTTTTTTGTGTTTCCAGTTGTGCTTTTTCTGGTGCTAAATTTCGTCAAATCTGGTGCTAAATTTCGTCAAAGCTGGTGCTAAATTTCGTCAAATCTGGTGCTTTTTTTTGTGCTTTCAGCTGTGCTTTTTCTGGTGCTAAATTTTGTCAAATCTGGTGCTTTTTTGTGCTTCCAGTTGTGCTTTTTCTGGTGCTAAATTTCGTCAAATCTGGTGCTAAATTTCGCGCGTCCAAAATGAACCTGCGAGCCAAAAGCAGATCGCTCGGAGCACTTGGCCTCAGCAGCGTTTGACTTTGTCGTGGCCGCCTGTGCAGTTTCCGGCGCTTTCCTGGTGCTTTTTCCGGTGCTAAATTTCGTCAAATCTGGTGCTCTTTTTTGTGTTTCCAATTGTGCTTTTTCTGGTACTAAATTTCGTCAAATCTGGTGCCTGTTTTTGTGCTTCCAATTGTGCTTTTTCTGGTGCTAAATGTCGTCAAATCTGGTGGCCCATTTCGTCGGCCAAGAAGCTGTTAGGGTTTAGGTCTTAGGGTTTATAGGGTTTTGTGAAGATTTGGTTTCGTCTTGGCCTCTGTCCAACCTGCAAGCAACAGGAGGTTGGAATCGTGACCTCCACTTCTGTTCCGCGGCCGGTCTTTTCGAACCGTTGCTTCTAGTGATTGGTGTGCTAGATTGTCACATGAAAATATTTCACTTATATAGATATGTCAAATCCAGCAATGAACATGTAGACTGTGGCGGCTGGGGCTGGTGTTGGTCTGGTGCTGGGGCTGGCTGGGGCTGGCTGGGGCTGGGGCTGGGTGCTGGGTTGTTGGCGCTGGTGCTGGTGGTGGTGCTGGTGGCGCTGCTGCTGCTGGTGGCGGCTGCTGGGGCTGGTGGTGGTGGCCGCTGCTGGGGCTGCTGTTTGGTGCTGGGGGTGCTGGTGGTGGTGGTGGTGATGGCTGCTGTGTGAAACTTCGAAACCACTTCGTTCGATTCGTCCCCTCATACATG